GAGCCCCCGGGTTCAAGACCCGCCTGGGCAGCGAGACCTCATCTCTACAATAAATCAAAAAATCAGCCGGGCGTGGTAGCGCGCGCCTGTAATTCCGGCTACTCGGAAGGCTGAGGCGGAAGGATCGCCGGAGCCCAGCAGATCCCGGCTGCGGTGGCCGGGAGCGGCCATTACACTCCAGTCTGGGTGACAGTGAGACTCCAACTCAAAAAAAAAAAAAAGAGGGGGGGGGAAAGAAGAAAGAAAAGGAAAGAGAACAGGAAGAAGGAGGAAGAAGAAGAGGAGGGGGAGGAAGAGGAAAACAAAGAAAAAGAAGGGGAAGAAGATAGAAGGAGAAGAAGAGGAGGAAGTAGAGCAGGGGAGGAAAAGGAGGATGATGAGAAGAAAGAAGAAGAAGAGGATGATAATGGGGTAGGAAAGGAGGAGGCAGAGGAGGAAGAAGGAGGAGGAAGAGGAAGGAAAGAGAAGAAGGAGGAAGAGGAAAAGAAAGAGGAAGAGAAGAGGATGGGAGGAGAAGAGGAGGAGAGAGCTGGAGAAGAAGAGACAGGTATCTGTGAGCCTATCAGTCTGCCCCAGACCTAGTCCCTATCAAGCTGCACTCGCTTCACAGAGGCAGAGGAAGATCAAGTGGGTGTTTTCTGTCCGTCTGTGTTTATCCACATGAAGGCTTGACCTAACGTGCCTTACTCTCTTTCTTTGTGGCAGACGACAGGCCGCCCTGAGATGGAGACTCCTGCTGCTGCTGGAACTCCGTGTGACCCGCTGCCCCAGCCCTCCCCTCAACTGGCAGACCTCACAGAAACACACACTGCCTCGGTATACCTCGTTTATACTACTAAGCCACGTCTGGCTGTCCTTGCTTGTTTTCTCAAGAGTGTCTATACTCATTACCTACCAAAGAAGGTGCCATATGCTTCTTAAAATTCTTTGGCTGGGCGTGGTGGCTCACGCCTGTCATCTCACACTTTGGGAGGCCGAGGTGGGAGGATCGCTTGAGCCCAGGGGTTCAAGACCAGGCTGGGCAGCAGCATGAGACCCCATCTCTACAAGAAATTTTTAAAATTATTCGAGATTTTTGGTGCATACTTGTAGTCCCTGTTTACTCAGGAGGCTGAGGGGGGAGGACGGCCTGAGCCCAGGAGGTTGAGGCTGCAGTGAGCCGTGACTATGCCCCACTGCACTGCAGCCTGGGCCACAGAGAAAGACTCTAACTGGAAAGAAACAAAAATCCTCTTATGTTCTTTCGGAATGGTTTTTGCAGCCTGGAATAAGTTCTGTTGTGGTTCGTCCATTTTTCTATTATCCAGGCAGATAATGTCTCTGGTTGTCTATTCAAACTTGTTCTCCCTTTTCTACCTGTTTTAAGAAGAATCAGGACAAAAACGTACGTCACGATCGCATCGATGTCTCCCTTAATTTTTAAAAATTTTTGGTAAGGCTTACACCTGGGCCTAAAATCAATATTTAAGAAATATGAGGCTGGGCACAGTGGCTCACACCTGTCAGCACTTTGGGAGGCTGAGGTAGGAGGATCACTTGAGGCCAAGAGTTCAAAACCAGTATGGACAACATACCAAGACTTCGTCTACCCAAAAAAAAGTATGAATTTTATCTTAATTCTTTTTTATTCTAAATTTGCTTCACGAATCTAGGATTTTAACACCACCCATCATCAGAACACGGACTTTACACACATTCTTTTTTTACTATCATGGAGAGACGATCTTAGCAAAATTCTTCTGTAGGTTTTTGGCATCTTCTCATCAAACTCCCTCTCTCATAAGTTGACTTTGATAAATCCTATAAGAACTTGTAGCCTCTCATCTTGTCTAAGAAGTGGTATGAGGCTCATAAAAAGTGAGGAGTGGTGAGGATTAGCTATTTCAACCTTCCAGAAATCAGTGTCAGCCGGGCACAGTGGCTCACGCCTGTCATCCCAGCACTTCGGGAGGCCGTGGTGGGAGGATCGCTTGAGTCCAGGAGTTTAAGACCAGTCTGGACAACATAGTGACACCTCACCTCTACAAAAAATAAATAAATAAACAAATTAGCTGGACCTGGTGGCACACATCTGTAGTCCCAGCCACTTGGGAGGCTGAGACAGGAGGATTGCTTGAGGCCAGGAGGTCGAGGCTGCAGTGAGCCATGATTGTGCCACTGGACTCCAGCCTGGACAAGATAGCAAGATCCCAACTTTAAAAAAAAAAAAAATGGAAGGAAGGAAAGAAGAAAAGAAAGAAGCAAGAATTATCAAGCACGTCCCTTTAATTGACTCTACTTTCCCCAGAACAAACAGTTCTCTGTCATTTAGATTAACACCACAGTTCTCTGCAGCCCACCACAGACTAACCATGGAATAGTTGTGTTTCTAGCATCCAACAAATAAAGCGGAAAGTGACCCCTCTGAGGAAACCTTGGAACCAAACCAAGAAGTCATCGGAGACCCCAGTCCTCTGGACGCTTTAGAGGTGATACCTGAATCCTTTGCCTTGTCCAATGCTCCTGGGTAGGCTTGTCCACATGCAACCAACGTTAACTCAATTTCAGCTTCATTTTGTTGAGAAAAGAATCTGCCTGCCTCTCCTGGTGTCTTCGATCTGTCTGTCTTCTTTCCTCATTTGCCTGTGGGTTCACTCTTTCCTGCCTTTGACTCTGATGATCACAGTTTCTCTCTCTTAACAGCTGTTCCACAAAAGTTCATTGAATGTGGGTGCTTTGGTTCATGCCTGTCATCCCAGCACTTTGGGAGGCAGAGGCGGGGATCACTTGGGCTTGGGAGTTTGAGACCAGCTGGGCAACATGATGAGTCTTTGTCTCTACAAAAAATCAGAAAATGAGCCAGGTGTGGTGGCACATACCTGTAGTCCCAGCTACTCAGAGGCTGGGGCAGGAGGGTCGCCTCAGCCCCAGCGATGAAGGTTGTGAAGAGCCGGGATCAGGCCACTGAACTCCAGCCTGGGTGACTGAGTGAGACCCTGACACAAAAATAAAAATAATAATAATTGAAGGAGCCGGGTTCAGTGGCTCAGCCTATAATCCCGCGCCTTGGGAGGCTGAGGTGAGTGGATTGCCTGAGCCCGCGGG